AGTTACTTGACCTGCCCTGAATACAAAATAGGACAACAGGAGGTAAATGAGTGATATAATTAAGTACTTTGTCTGTTCCCAGGCATCTAAGAAAGTCTCTCTATTAAGAGGCTTGAAATTTTTCAAGAGCAACCTTCCCTAAATAAAACAAATTTGAAGTATATTTCAAGTAAGATGATGCAATTACTACTTTTATTGATTTTTTTATACAGCTATTTAGTATTTTAAAAGGTTAAGTGATTTTGTTGGTAGCTGTTGATACTCCTTTCTATGACAGAACTCTATTGATTGAGTTCTATTCTTGTTTCTAACTTGAACAAATTCTTCTAGTCTTCTATTCACAAGAACAGTCAACATAAGGTGAAAAGGTAAATAACCTGAACAATCAGCCAGTGCAAACAGTGAGGTTGAAGTGTAACTGCTGCACAAGTTCTGGCCTTACAATGAGTTTTTCTGTTAGGAACTGCTTTCCTTGATTTCCATCTCCTGTGAAGACAGACTTTCAAGGCTGTCTTCTTGTTCAAGGGCTGCTGAGAGAGAGTAACAGTTGTGGAGAAATAACTGTTACACACTCTGGGCTAGTGATTTTTTAATTTCTTTTTGTAACAAACCCAGCACCATTAATGGAATTCCAGTCTGTCTTATTTTCTCAAGAGAAAATACAGATACAACCGACAACCTTGATTAAGCCTAAAAATATTCCACAAATTCCTGAAGTTTCAGCTTAAAAGACCTTTCTACTTGTGCACTGAACCTATTTGAAAGAAATAAATTACCATGGAACTTGGCATTACTGTTCATGGTCATATATCAGGTTATAGCTGTACTTCACAGCATAGTTTCAAGAACTATATATGAGAAATGTTTGTTTTATTTTTAAGTCATTTAAGGTGTTTGAGATGTACCCCCAAAATCCCTTTCTGAAAGAGGTTGTTGCTTCTCTTCCCTACCTCTAAGGTAATAGCAAAAGATCAGAACAAGTATCTGTGAACATGTACAGCTACTTTTTTGTTTTCTGAAACAAAGTGGGAATATTTAACGTCAGCTGCGTGTTTTAGTCACAAAGATTTCATGTTCAGAGTGTGGGAGATGGAAAGCAGAAAAAAAACTATCTTTGAAAGGCAAGTATTTTTTAATAGTTATGTTTATCAAGACCAGTGGTTTGGGTTTAGTGACTCATTGCATAATATGATGCCTAAAACTGGTTCAAGTTTACAGTAGGGCTGCCACAAATTGGACTTAAGTGGCCTGTTATCGTGTGCTCTGGTCATGTCATTGTATTTGATAGGTTTGGGCTTTGCCAATAACTGATGACAAGGTTAACACTTGGTTATTGTGTATTATGAGCTCTCATATATAAACCTGCTCATGAGCAGCTTTAATATATAGCAAAATAGTTTTAATTGATGTGAGAAATACATATTTGTCTTCATCTTAAGCATTTTTCTGTACCTTTCTGCAAGAGGAATAAAGACTGAATGTTAGGGCCTGGCCTTAGGTTATGCTGCTATTAATCCAGGGTAACCTGTCATCTTTCTTAAAGCTATTCTATAATTCACCATGGTAATTAAAATTCAAATATTATACTGAAGTTGTTCAATTTCCATTCTACTTGGACACTGTTACATGTAGAATAGGGGCTGTTTTGTCTTTCCTGACTTAGTCTTCTACAAAAACTTGCCTCCTTCTATAAATTTTATTTGGAAGGGCCATCAAAATGTGGTTAACCCATTACCTTAAACTGGCAATAAAGAAACATGTAAAAATGCTCTCTATTTATTCAAAGTGCAGAATCTGATGTATAATTTAAATTTTAATAGGTCAGAGCATGCTCACTGTGGGTTCTTTTCACATTTTGAATCAACATTTTGAAAGAGGAAGTTAAATGAGGGAGCCAGTACATGGAGTGCCTGTGGATTCCTAGTAGCAGGGAGGAGATCCCAGCATAAAGTGGGTTTTCTGATACACAGCACAGGGAGTCTTTGGTTGAGAGAAAAAGAAAATGCAATTAGAGAGAGAGACAGTCACTGTCATCCAAACACGCTGTTTAAAAGTGTTCTAGAACACTCTAAAATAAACCCCTAAAATAATCCAGTGCAAACCATTCAGAAGGAAGTGTAGTTTCTAAAGTTCTCCTCAGGACATGTTTTGGCAGTATTTTTCGTAACCGAGACGAAAAAAAAAAAACAAACCTGTTTCTACCCAAGCAGTCAAAGCCGAAAGACTTGAAGGCTGCAGTCAGTTCAGGAGACAAAAATAACCCCTGTGCGCGTCAGGTTTTCCAGCGCGGCCGGCCCAGGTGAATGGGGGTTTTATGGAGCAGGGGCAGGGCAGGAGAGAGGGAAGAGGGAGGGAAGAGGGAGGGAGGGAGCCACGCAGAGCTGAGTCAATACCCGACGTTGTTGGATGTCTGTCCCCGCCCGGAACGCCCGCGGTGGCTGCGCTGGCGCTGCCAAGGATTAGCTCAGTGCTCTGCTTTGGCTCAGAGCGTACTTCTCACAAAGAGGCAGAATAAGTTCATTTTAGAAGTACAAAAATCTATAAGGGTAATTATTTTGAGGGCCATTTCTACTCTCGCCCAGAATTTCTGTAGCTTCCCAAATAGCTTTCTAGTCTGCATATGTAAAACCACACAAACTTTGTCATTTTATTTGTATTTCTTGATTATATTTCCTGCTTTCTTGTAACAACATTTTCCTTTTTAAGTTGTAGATAAGCATTTACAAAACTCTTCTAATTTTAAAAGCTCTTTAGATTCTAAAATGTGTCATTTCATTTGAGTTGGTGAAACAAACACCATGGACTAAAGTGTATTCACTTCTGTAGCCTTAAAATAACACAGCTCAGGTCCGTTACTTCAAGTGTTTGTGTAACCACATTGTATTTACTTTTCTATTGCATGTGAGCAACTAATTACTATAGCATCTCTCTCTTCTTATAGTGTTTATATTTCTGTAGTCACCAGCAACTTTAAATAGGAACAAAAAAGGCATAGCACTCTGTTGGCTGGACAGAAGGACCCAGAGAAACTATACATATTTTTAAAAAGATACAGCACCTCTCTGCCATCTCCCATTCTGTGTGCAAATTCCTTTTTCTTGCTAGTCAAGGGGTTGTCTGATATCATTGTGTTCTGATTCTTTCTTCTAAGTCTTCTGTAGTCTGCTGTGCAAAGAGAGACTCCTGAAAATTCAGACCTGTGTTTCTTCCTGAACCACCTCATGCTTCCCCATAAACAGTAATACAGATCCACATTTTGCATTATTCAGTTAAATATCTGCTGTGTCATACACAGGAGATAAGGTTCTCGTTTCAAAGAAACTAAAATCTTGAGGTGGTGTAACTTGAGAATGGGAGAAAGGTGGTAACACATACCCAGGCACTATGAGAATGGTTCTGCCTTATGTGGGGAGGTTGCCAAATCACCAACCTGCACTGTGGGGAGACAAGTTTGGATGTTTGTGGAGATGAGAAAGGAGAAGATGAGAAGGTTCTCATGAAGAGGTCTGTCATTCATTTTATCAAGCCAAATTTTTTAATCTTTTGGGAGCTTTTCTGAGCATTATGGGATGATAAGTCTTTGCTAACTAACACAGAGCTTCTCAAAGACTACAGATGGTAGAAAACAAGATTTGTGCAGCAGCATGCAGTTAATGCATCCTCTCTTTTTTAACTCAAGAAATTAAACTGAAATTGTGTAAAATAACAAAGGAGGGACACAGAGTCCCATGCAGTGACTGCCAGCCATGTGCAGGAGTTTCAGAGCTGTGGGTTGCTCTGTAGCCCTGCCTGTGTGCTAGGACAGCAGGACTGCAGCTTAAATACTGCAGGCACCTGTGTGGCAAATACAGGTGGGACACCTGCAAGGCTGATAGAGGGATAGAGGGATTACTGGAGGAGGTGTGCCAGGGAACCAGCTGTGGAACTGAACCTGCCGGTCTTGCTGTGGAAATGGAATGCCAGGGAAACATATCTCCAGTCAAGCCTTTCAGATGCAGCCCAGTTTGGGATTCTCATTGTGGCCCTGGCACTTCCAGTTTTTGTAACGGCTCCTGGCTGGGAGTTGACTGATTTGGGTGAAGTCAAAATTCAGGGCCCTTCCAACTCCTCAGCAGTGTGTTGCAATCTCCCAGACCAGGCTGGCACACACTCTGTGTGTCAGTGCCCCAGCAAGGAAGGGAGTGGGGATGATGTGGCCATGTGCCCCAGGCGGGGTGATGTGGCTGCATGCAGGGCTGCACCGCAGTTTATGATGGTTTGTGCACAGAACCACACCCAAAAGACTGAGGGATTTTTCCTCTATATCCTCCTGAAGTAAAATGAACCAGTTCAGCTTTTAATTGCTCACAGTTCAGAGTAAGCAGGTTAAGTTTGTGCTGGAAGATAGCAGAGCAGAGCTGGCATACTCAGGATCTCTTGAGAGGATGCTGAGAAATCTGCTTTGTCCTGGCCCTTCGTTAATGCTGTACAGTTGGGCCACAACCACTGATAAAATGGGGGAATTCATTTTGTGCACCACCTCTGTTTTAGCAGGTGTGCTGTGGGGGAAGGGAAAGGTTACTTTGTTGATTCTGAAGGTGCTGTTACTTAATGAACATCAACGTTTAATTTTCAGCCTAAGAAAGGGAGAGCAGCTACTTGTACAGTAACAACTCCTGTGCTGTTCTCTGACTTGGCAAGAAAAGAAGCTGTTACTAAACCAACGGGAGCTATTCTGGAGAGAAGGAAGTATTTATTTTGTCTGGCACTCCATGCCACTTTTGCATAACAATGCATGATTAGTTATTCATCTATCACTTAGGAGCTGCTTGGTTTGTCTGTGGCCAGAGAGAGTTATTTATTTAAACCGCTGTGGTGAGCAACAGCAAGAAATTTCCTATCCCTCTAAAATAGAGTCTAGTTAATGAGTATATTAGGTAAATGTATTTTATTACTGCTCTTTGTTAACTAACTTCAGAACTCTATGAAAGAAACCAATGTGGTTGTATGTTTATCAACAGGCCAAGTTCTGGTAGAAATCTCAAGAACACACAAGAAACTTAATGACAGTCTAGAGGAGAGTGTAAGTTAAATTACTTTTTTAAATTCATTTTCCTTGTGAAATTATAAATTGCTTTTGCCAATTTTTAATAACTCTTCATTCATTTGTTTTTAAAGTTCAAAAAATTTCATAAAGAAATTATATCTGAACTGGAGAAGAAAACAGACCTGGATGTGAAATATATGACTGTAAGTATACATTCAATTGTAAAACTCCTATTTTATTTGTCTATTGCTAGTCAAAGAATTTTTTCAGAAATTGTTCCCAAATAATTAATTAATCAATAGGCTAGAAATTATACATAAAGATGGCCAAAATTTTCATGCTTAATTTAAGTTAAAAAGGGAATCAATTTTATGACTTCACAGGTCCTTAAAATGAAAGCAACTGTTGAACTCATTTGGTGGGTGTGAGAGATCTCAGGGATGGCAGAAGTGCCTCAGTCACTTACCCAGCTCCAGGGCTGAGGGCATTAAGAGCTGTTATAAATGCTTTGATTGCAGGCAACTTTAAAGAGGTACCAAACCGAACACAGGAGCAAACTGGATTCTTTAGAGAAGTCTCAGGCTGAGCTGAAAAAAATCAGAAGGAAAAGCCAAGGAGCACGAAATGTAACGAAATATGAGCATAAAGAAATGGAGGTCAGTGCACTGTCTCTTATTTGTTTCTTCCTTTGTATGAGAACTGGTCAACCGAAAATGTTAATGATTCCTGAAAGTTGGTTTGTATTAAAGGCACTCCTAGAGGATGTATTCCAGCTGAAATTGAGCTCTCCACTGTGTGTGTTCAGAGACTTCTGTTCTAGTTTCTAGATTTCATCCCTTGACCACTGGGTCAATTGATTTTTTTTTGTTGTTTTTAAGTACCTTTGTAGCTACACCTTCATGCAGAGTTTTACACAGGGAGTCAGCTAAGATATGCAAATTCAGTAGTAATTTGCTATAAATTTATTTCCCAAAGTAGGCAATGTCAACCTGTGTTATCAGTTACTGCCTTTCCTACTGCCTTTAATCCAGTATTGCCATCTTGAGGAGAAATCTGAAATGGCAGGGCACTGAAGACAAACTATTTTAAAATTAGGAATGGTTGTCATGTGTCTCTGAAAATACTTGCCATTGATACTTTTATTTGCACAATACTTGTACTTCGTGCTAGCTTATTTTTTTTCCATATTTTTCTATTTTAAAATTCAAATAAAGCTTTGTTTATAACTCAGTACAGTAAATGTAGATGGTAGGAGCTCCTATTTCTTAGTGCCTATCTTTTAACCTGCATTCATAACAGGTTTGTTTTTTTACGGTTCTGGCTCTGGGTCTGAGAGTTCAAGGATTAGCATTTAATCACAGTTTAGCCATGAATCCTCATAACCTCAGATAAATATAGTTGAGCCTTTTTAGTTCATTCACTTCCCCCCCTTAAATGAAGTAGAGATTCCTCAGAGCTTTGTGTGAGTAAAGGAACTACTGTGGAGCAGACAAGGTAATTAGTCTAATTAGACACCTGTGGCTGTACAATTGCTCAGCACAGTCACTGCTTTGATGCCAGGTTCTTATCTACTGCAGAGTTTTATTTAGAGGCTAAAAGACTTTCTTGTTTTGCTTCACTTCCCCCCCACCACGGCCCCTAAATAAGCTGTTGATGCCTGTAGGGACAATACACCTTTACCTGATGGGATGGGGAAGTCAGGTGTGTGCAGGAAAAGAGAAGGGCTTGGAAGTAGAGCCACGCACTCCACCTTTCCAAAAGCTATTTCTCAGGCTTTTGGAGTTTACTTCAGTAGTTGGATATAGTGTCAAATAAAATTCAGAGGCTTTATGTGAATTTTTTTTCCTTTTTTCCCCTCAGTATTTGGAAACAGTGAGCTCTCGCCAGAGCGATATCCAGCGGTTCATTGCAGAAGGCTGCAGAGAAGCTCTCCTTGAAGAGAAAAGAAGGTTCTGTTTCCTGGTTGACAAGCACTGCAGCTTTACCCAGCACATGCACTTCTACCACGTGCAGGTCAGTGAACAGAAATGAAATCCCTGAAATCCAGTCCTAGAGGAGATCTTCAGTATCTCCTGCAGCACATAGATCACACTGCCAGAAATATCCAGGGAACACTGAACTGCCAGACAAGTGTTGTGGTCAGTTCATAGAAAATGCTTACAATACACTATTCTATGAAATGTATTATAGCAACAATCAAGGGTTGTTGTGACTTTTTAAATCCAGTATCTGACCCTGCAAAAGGAGAGTCCCTTTTTACAACATATTATTTGTTTCAAAGAGGTATGGCTAAGAAAAATCTTAGAAAATACTTCCATGTTGCTGGTGTTAACAGTTTAGTGTAATGAAAGTTAGCCAGTAGGTCTGTGCAATTTTATGAAAAAGCATATCTCTGACAAGTACCTTTTAACTTGGATGCAGTGTGCAGACTTCCTAAAATCCAAGCTGCCTGGGTGGCAGGAAACCTGCAGTGATGCCACCAAAGTGCCTGAAAAAGTCAGAATGATGATAGATGAAATAAGGACACCTGGATCCACTCCAGTCTCGGGAACGCCACAGCCTTCACCAATGGTAGAGAGAAATACCATGGTATGTTGTTCTCTGATGGGAGTGGAGGGGCTTCACTAGGTTTTGTTTTTCCAGCCAAACATTTGGGATGGAGTCTATAATGTATCTCAGTGGGAATATACTTGGGTTGGGTGTGGAACCAAAATCCTTAAGCTGAAGCTCTGCTACAGCAAAAATATACAGTACAGCAGAGAGAAGCCCAGCCTCAGGACTACTTTTGTTCTAACCATTCCATTTCCAACATTCTTGTCTGTAAGTGATAGTAATTACATACTCAGTAGTTCAAAATAGACTTAAACAAAATCTTATTTTCTATTTTCTTTCCTTCTTGCCTTCCTGATTCTTATTAGCTTATTAGATACAGGTTGAATTCTCATTTCTGTTTGTATGTTCTGTCACCATTAGTTGCTGAATTTCTAAATGATTACAGTGAACTTCTAAACAAGAAAAATCTGAAGATCATCATGCTATTTGTGGGGAAAAAAAAGGTTATCATAGCCTTCCACTAACAAGTGTTTATCAAGGGACAGAAGCCTCTTACAAACCTATCAGCAATTCCATAGGAACATGACATAAAGATGTCATGTCTCAGTATATATCATTTGGGAGCATTTAAGCACTGCTCTCTAGAATTCAATCTTGCAAATAAGTGATGGCTGTCTCCTCAGTGTTGTGATGTTGTTGTTTTTGTGACTTTAGATTGGAAATGATTTTTATCCTCATCACGAAAATGCATCCAACGTGCCCCCAGCTCCCACAGGCAGGGCCTACACGAGTCCACTTGTTGATATGTTCAACAATCCTGCCACAGCTCCCAAAGCACCTTCTGAGAAACTAAATCATTCAGCAGGTGAGTGTCCCTTTGTTGCAAATTGGGTAAGTGTGAATGACATCCAGTAGCATTCAAAATTACCTCAGGGCTTCTCCACTACCACGATGACATGAATTCCAGGATGTGTAGAGGAGTAGGAAACGGTCTTTACAAAGCATTTACGATCCTCTTATAACAGTGGAGAGATGTGTTATAAGAGAATTTTTTGCAGTAAAATGCAGGTCAGGGTAGGTAGATTCTATTTTAATCACTTTCTGTGTGTCACTGATTAACTCAACTTAAGTGCCCTTATGAATTCCAGTGTTATCAGCAGAAGGCACTTGGCAGTTTTGAACAGGATACATCCGAGGGATTGTTTCGCTGCACAAAACAACATAAACACTCTGCCAGTCCCACTTTGGGTTCCTTTAAGGGCACTTAGCAGTAAGGGAGGAATGCACAAGGGACAAAATGAGCACAGTCTTCTGCTCCTTTCCTGAAATGTAAAATCCTATTAAGATTTATTTTCCAAGTTTCTAATATATTTATTTTTTTACTCTCTCTGACATAGGGAAGGGAAAGAACTAACCCTAGCTCACAGTATAAGAAATTAAGAACTCCTAAATGTGATAGTAGCAATTCCAGCATTTCTTCCTTGAAAATGCATTTACAATACATTGTACTAACCAAATAACACAGTTTTGAGCTCTCCTTTATTTTGTCTTCCAGTAAACATCTAGTTTAAATATCTGCAAAGTGCCAAGTATCTGCAACTCTCCTTGATGCTGAAGCTGAGTGTGAGGCACATTTGAAAGTGAAATCTTGGATTTTATAGACAGCTACTTTTTATAATGGAAAATTTTCGAAGGCCTTTCTTTTACAGCTGTGATTGTTTAGCACTTTTCATGCCAAAAAGGGAAAAATGTACCCAGTTAAAACCTACAGAACTTTTTATGCCTGGTGGTTCAACTTTATTGTGCTGGGTGTGTGTATATAAATGCACGTGCTGTTAAGAACTTCATGGTGATAAGAAACATTGGCAGGTAACTGAGAGGTGTCTAAGTAGAAAGTACAAGGTCTCAGAACTTGATTTGCACTTGATTGTTCCTTTGGTTTTTTTCCTGTCAGATTACTAATTGCATTTAATTTTGTTAGTGTGGCTAATTTTTTCCTTTAATTTCTTTTTTTTTTTTCTTCATGTTTCTTTTTTTTGACAGAGAATTCAGATGATGCCAGTTTATCGCGTTCAACTTCTGTTGCCACGGGACTAAACATAATGAAAAGGCAAAAAGTGAAGACAATCTTCCCACATACTGCTGGAAGCAACAAGACATTGCTCAGCTTTTCCCAGGGGGATATCATCACACTGCTGGTAGCTGAGGAAAAGGATGGCTGGCTCTATGGGGAGCATGACACAACCAGAGTGTAAGATAATCAATATATTATCCACCTTGAACATGAAGGAAAAGCAAGTTTCATCAGATTTTGTTAGCAGATGGGAAATGGTTTTCTACCTTTTTTGTTGGCTGTCTAGGGGACTTGGAGGCTTTCTGTAAGGAAAATCACTGCACTTATTTTAGAGAGGTTTTCCACACTAATTTGGCATCATCCGAAATTGAGTCTTCAAAAATTAAATCTCAGTTTGTTCAGTCTATGGTTTAGTCCAAGTTGTCTTTTGAAAGATTTTTCCAATGTATATAATATAAAAAACCTTTCTCATTACAGAAAAGGATGGTTTCCATCGTCGTACACGAGACCACTAGAAGAATTAGAAGACAAAGCCTTTGCCCCAGTGCCAAGGTAACATTTTGGGTGGCACTTGCAGAAATGCCCAAATCTTCACTAACATTTATTAGAAATGTTATTTCTGTGCTCATGTTCTTTGAGGTTCAGTAACATGTCTAACAATCTGCAGCAGGAGGGCTTGATTACATGAAAGTCTTTTAATGGTTACACAAAGACCCAAGAACGAGCTTTGGAACAGCTGTAATTCAGAGTCCCACTGACTTCAGGGGCATTTTACACCATTACTAACTTCCAGCTCATGCCCTTTTGTGCTCTCCTGGTGCTAGGGATAAGTGAGAGATGTACTGTAGGAACTGAGAACGGCATTTGTTGGGTTCTGTCTTGCAGCCCTGCACCAATCCGAAGTGTTAGTTCTGTAAATCTTGTGGAGAAAGGTGAAGTTGTCCTCCCACCACCAGACTACCTGGGGGCTTCACAGGCAGAGTCTGCCAAAGGTCCTGCTCCTAAAACACCGACGGACAGAGCGGAGCAGGCAGGGCCGGTGAGTGATCCGTGCTGGGAACCCAAACGTTCCACCCTGCTTACCCTCTTCACCTGCTCTTAAATGAGGCCCTGGAATCCTCTACCTTGTGCTTGACTTCAGCCCTGTGATGCAGCTGTGCTCAGGAGTATCAGGAGTTTGGGCATTTCAACCCATCCATCCTGACAGGAAGGGAGAATTGTTCAGGGACATTGACTGACAGTAGTAAGAGACATTCTGCATAGCAAAGCTTCTCAGCAACGGAATCTGTTAAACATGAAAAGAAATTCTCACAGAAAGTAGTACAAATCCATCATCTGTAGTGATTTTGGAGATGTGGGGCACAGGGAACTCTGTATTCAGGAACCCCACAAAAGTTGGTGGTGGGTTTGCAGCTGTCACTGAGGGAGAGCTGTACTAACTCATGTCTATTTAGTAAAGATGCAGCTGAGTGGAAATACATTTTTTATGAACAAATACTGCTACACAGTGCTATTATTTCTGCTATTAAGTCAGCATTCAAACTGACTCAAAATGAATCTAATCAAATTACACAATTACTAGCTTTTTCTTGCTGCTCATTTAAGTATTTTGCTGATCTGTATCTAAGGATGTTTTTGAGACTTTCTTCAAAAACCCTCTTGAAGCAGAGATCACATTCTGAAGGGAAAAGAAATCTCTAATATATATAAAATAATGGAAGCTGATAACTCCTAAGAGTGGAAAATAAACACATCATTTTTGATAATCTAAATTTCCACATGGAAAGCAAGATTAAAATAAATTAGGGATTCTGGAGTATAAAATAATGACCACTTTTGTTGAGGCACCCCCTAAATTCTTACTGTGACCCCACCTTACTTGTTACCTTACAAAACACGAGAGCTGTAGAGGGGAGCTGCTGCACTTGCACCCAAGTCTTTTGCTCCTAAGTCACTATTTATTTTCATTCTTTTGGGAAGTTGCAGAGCTTCCTTGTCTTTCCTGCTTCCGTGCAAGTCTCAAACCCCCACTCCCTCACAAGGCTTTGGAAATAAGCCCAACATTGTACCAGGCTGGCTTGGAGACTCACACAGGATTTACATACTGTGTAAAACAGTCTGCTCACTGTGCCTTCCGTGCAGAAGCAGGAAATTATTCAAGGCATCTTATTTTTGTTTCAGACTACACAGAAAAAATAGCTCAGGATTTCAAGAAGATGAGGAATGGTTCTAGCCAGTTACGTTGTTCATGCTGTGCTGCAGAGGACAGTACTGTGCAGAACAAGATCAACTAACAAAAACAGACTTAGTAGTTGACAAAGTCTTGATGAGAGTTGGTGTTCAGTAAGATGTAATTCAGGCATTTGTTCATTTTAATTAATTTTAAGGGCTAATTAGACCTAAATCACAGTCTAAGTCTATTTACAACTGATGTACATGACCAATTTTATTGAAATTACAAGTCAAGTGTGAGTTAAGAACTCTGCTGAATAAGGTCCTGAATAAATAGAGGTTTCTTCACCTGCATCGTGGTATCATGAATATGGTAACTGGCAGCTGCTGGTACAACCTGGTGTGCCTGGAAAGGAAAGGCTGATAGGCCTTGGTTCAGCCCTGAAATTTGAAATATTAAAACCAAAATGGCCATATAGACTAAATTATTGGTACAAGTCAAGTTGCTCCATAAAAGGTGACTGCATATTCCTGCTTCTAGATGTAAAAATGTATATTCCAATTTTCACTTTGAGCTTTATCTGACACTGATTAGAAGTAATTAGTTTCCAGTTTAAAATACATCATTAAGCAAGAGGGAGGGGGAAAGTAGGAATTAGCTGTTTGCCAAAACTCCCCCATAGCACAACTGGTTTGCCAAAGGCATCAGTTTTCCATTTTATCCCACCTGAAATGCTGCATCCTGGAGCAGCCTGGGACAGAGCCACACTGCCACCTCTTGGGTTACCTTTACTTCACAGCACTACTGTAACCTAATTTTGATGTTCTGAAAGAATCCTGTTCAGTTCAGCTGAACCACATAATAATTGTTCTAAATGGCTAAATATTTTAGCCTACTTGAATGACAGGGTCTCTTTTCCTTAGCAAGATAGTGAGGGTACCTGTAGCATATCTTCATAAACTTACGTAAATATCTTTTTCTTTTACAGAAACCCAACATGAATGGCATTACAAAACCACCTTTTCTAAGGTATATTTTTCACACTTTTAAACTGATTTATTTGTGTTGATTTTTATATTAGCTTATATTATTATATCTCTTGTAAGGGAAAGTAATGATGTTTATCATTCATTTCTCTGGGACCTTTCCCAGGCACTGGTAAAACACTTGTCCCACTTGGCCTCAAGCGAAGTACGATGAACAGGCCCTTCTCAGAAGAATGTAGGTCTCCAGTAATTTGACAGGGAGCAGGACTTAACCTTTCTTTAACTGTCTTTTAAGATTTAAAAGCAAAAATCTTTGAAGAGTGGGAGTTGTTTAAAAAAGTCCAGATCTAACTGAGCATTAACTTCCCAAATTTTGAGTCACTGCAAAGTGAATCCACACATGTAACCTTGTTTTACTAATTCGAGTTAAACTAAAGAGTTGCACAGAATCCTTTAGTCTCAAACCATCACTTACTGTTTGAAGACAACTTCTGTGAAGATGTTGAATTGTTTAAATTTGGGGTTGGATTGCAGCAAGCCTTTGAGTAACTTTATGCATTTCTTTTTAGTGGAGAAAATCCCTTTGCAACGGTGAAGCTCAGACCAACAGTAACAAACGACAGATCAGCACCGATTATCCGATGAATACACGGTCCGGACACACGACCTTCTTCCTTACCAACACACCAGTTCAGTAATGACAATTGCTATCTCAACTTCTTCTAAAAAATTTATTTAAATGTAATTACTGTATAATATTGGCATACTGGAACGGAGCTCTGATGTTTTGTTAAAACCTTTGCTTTCTAATGAGGTAATTGCTTTGGGCTAGTGTTTGAGCACCTGGGCTTGATTTTACAGTATGCCTTTTTTGTAGTAGGATTTGTGAAAATGCTGGAGGATAGTTTGGATGCTCTAGTGAATCAGTGTAAGTAATAGCTCACAGATCTGAATCTTTGGCATTCATTATTTGGAAGCTGCAATGGTAAGTTCTAGAATATAAGCCTACATATGCCACCTACTAAGGATAACAGTGATTTTTTTTTTTTTTTTTCAAACAGAACAATGTAACAACTGCCTTATTCCAGAATAGAGAATCACCTGTATAAATGATTATACATTATTTTGTGTAAGAAAGAAACCTTAGGTTATAAATAAATATTTATCCTTTAAGAATAGACGACTTCTAAAGCTTTGCTTGACGTTCACATACAAATTTTCAAGTGTTAACAGAACCCCATTTTCAGTCTAATGTTGTACTGTTAACACATTCTTCAATGATAGTTTTGTCTTTAAAACGTGTTGTCAAACTTTAGTCTGATAAAAAGTCATAATAAAGCAGTGCCACAATTTTTTCTCAAGTGCCAATATAAAAAGCTGCCTTTGAAGTTCCTCCGTGACTGCAGCCTTCCCAAAAGAGAAACAGCTGAAGTTGGAAAAGTTTTGGTTCGGGAGCCGAGCAAAGGCCTGAATGCTGGCACAGTGCGGTAGCTGAGTTAAGTGGAACTGAGCTTTTAACTTCAGCCACAAGCAGAGCTGAGCAGTTTGTTACCTCAGACTCAGGTGTGGTAACTCCAGCAGAGCCAGCTTGTCCAAAAGCCTTTTCCTACAGTAATAATCACCTCAGAAATTAGCCTAGAATGCTAGAAACTAACTCTGCCCCAGCAGCAGGTGCTTCATCCCTGCACAGCTCGGGGGATACTTCCCACTGCTATGAAGTCTGTATTGTGACTGCTGCCAGTGATTAATCCTTACTCCAAATCACTCTATTTTACATATGTACGTGCTTCCTGCAGCATCCCCTGGATCATTCGGTTTGTGGTGCCTACTTCTACTACTATAAACAGTCAATTCAAGTCATGTGAAATGCCTTTCAGTTACTTAATATCAAAAAATAGTATATGAGCTTGTGCTGGCTCCTCTCATGCTGCCTTTCAAGTTCAAGGCCGAGGACACTGCTAGAGAGCCCTGCATAAATATCCACCATCCCAGTTTGAAACACCAGCTTTTCAGAAGAGGAACTTACACCTGAGTCCATTTTCTAAAGCATATTAGAGGCAAGTCAATCTAGACTGTATGAGCTTTCAATAATTCAGTATCAGAATTAAATATCTAACATGTAAAAACTTTTACTGAGGGCAGCTCATGGTTGGCAGCACCCCGGCCTCTTTCTAGAGGCAGACAGAAAGTTCTGCTGTCTTTGAAGCAACACATCTGCATGAAGCAAAACCTTCACTAATTAAAGCAGGGCTCTGACTGTGTGTTATTACCTGTGCCTTCAGAGAGGGGCTGTTACTCTAGTGGTAGTACAGTTGCAAAACTTCCTTCAAATATCTGATGTCCTAAACAAGTACAGCCTTAAACCATGGTTTATCATCAGCATAAAGATTCTGGCAAATATTTGTCCTTCATTGTAGCTAGGATTACTAACTCTGCTTGCAGACTATGTGTTATCAGACACATCAGTCACATATTTAATAATCCAGCCACAAGTTGAGGATTGCAAAAGGGAAAGCAGTTTTATTTAGTTTTCAACAGGTGCCACTAAACATGGAAAACAAGTCAGGTTTTCATGTTTTGCAATGCACATGCTCATAAAAGATTAAGTTTAAATTACATGCAAGAGACTAAATTTCTTCACACTTTACAAAACAGGTCTGAAGCAAATAACATGATTGTACATGACATTTACATTAGAAAGAGTACGCTAACAGTTGTAGCTTCCGTAAGCACGGCCACGTTCATCCCCTCAGCCAAAAGCTGCCCCACAATTAGGGCATCTTCTCTGCCTCAGTGCAAGGCAGAACAGAATCCCAATTGGAAAGAATACAATGGCACACAAAACACCAAGACAGGTGAAGGTGTCCTCCAACACGCCAACCCTGCAAAAAGGGAAAACAGACTCAGTCAAGGACACACACCAAGTTTGGCCCCCAGTTACCACTTTGTGATTTGGCAGTCACTGAGAACCACACCATCTTATAGAGTAAGATAAAGTACAAGGTTTGGGGGTTGTTCCTTGTTTCTACTTGGAAAAACTGATGTCCCTTTAGAACTGTAGGAAAACCAACTATTGATGTCACCTACCTTCAGCTGAGTCCCAGCCCCATGACCACCCTACATAAGAAATTCTGTTTCAGCAACAGCAGAAGTTTAGAAAGGAGTCAGGAACTGAAACTGAAGTGCTGTATCTGAGCATCCCCCAAAATGAAGACAAACAGTAAAACCAGAGTATTCAGACTTTAGAAATTTGTGCAGCTTTACTAAACAGAAAAAAATTGCAGTTTAGCAAAACACTCCAACAAGATGTATCCTCTTAGATTCCCTGGTACAGTGAAAGTCAACACAAACAGAGCTGAGTGACCCTGAAGTACAGGCCATGAGCAAAGTGCCAAGGCCAACAAGCTGCTGCTTTCCTCCGAGAAGTCACGGACAATCCACTGTACGTGTAAATAGAGCAAAGGAAGGAAGACACGGGCTCAGAGACCATTTCCTTACAGCAACTGGCTGAAACACTGCAACTTGATTAAACTTCAGAAACATTCACCTTCCCTTCAACCATCAGCAGAAGCCAAAGGCTTCTCAAAGTGCTCTTGGTGTTCTGCTGCTTACGCAACTTCATGTTCAGCTTAAGCTTTCCCTCATTTTAATGCACTTTATTTCTGTTTGCAGAATTCTTGTGATAAGAGTCAACTCTGCATCTGGTATAAAGGAACTGTCAGGTACCATTGACCCCAGCAGTAGTTTTATCTTTTCATGTCCTCAGACAACACTCCTTTAAGACAACAAGTTAAAAAATGTAGACTAATGCTCAAATCACCACATGGACTGCAGCCTTGGTGCACAAGTGTCCCACAGCTCAGACTTGTGCAGCCTGTGCTGGTCATTGTAGCTATTCCCACAAACTCAGTATAACATCACTCCTGTTCCCTGCGAGTCAGGCAGTCCCAGAGCTCCAGCTGTGGGGCAGGCCCTTTGTCACCAACCAGCCCTTACACCCCCGCTGGCTCCATGAGCAGTGGGCCTGTGAGGGTCAGAGAGAAAGGCACCATGTCCCCCCAGCACACAACACATCTCTGCCTCTGCACAAAGTGCTGCCCAGAGGACATGGAGGAGCCCAGGCCAGTTTGCTGGGAAGCCAAAACTCCCCCTTTGCTCAGCATGTGTGTGAGTCAGTGACTCACAGCACTTGCCCTGCATCACCTCAGCAAACAGAACTCACAAAACACAGGCACTGGATTTGCACAGCTTGGTCCATATTTCTTTTTTAGGCTGTGCCTGGTGTTCTGCTACAAAGAACTTCAGCTCAGGATTCCCATCAGCCCATCAGAGCAGTGCCTGCTTCCCTGCTTCTCTCACCACAGAGCATTCCCCAAAGTGAAATACCAGTGGGGAAACCAGTCAGAAGGGACAGAACTGCTGGGGAAAGAAACATGGAAGGAGTTACTGAAAAATTAGGAACAGAACAGCAGGCACTGTCACTACTAGAAAACAGGCAAACATCATAGTAAACTTTTCCCACATAATAGGGAATATTAATGCTTCATCCAGACCACTGTATACAGCTTTGGTCCTAATAAAAAAAAAAAAAAAAAAAAAAAAAAAAAAAAGAAGGCAAAAAGGAAAAAAAAAAAAAAAAAAAAAAAAAAAAAAGGGGGATTAATAAGGGCCATAAGGAAAGAAAAACATGAAAAAAAATGTAGCTCCCATCAATTTACCCTTGCTACCCAACTCTCAACTCCTAATCCCAAATCAGTCGTTATATCATTAGCCAGTGCCAGGACACATCAAAATCTGCTTGCTAGGTCAAGTTCAGAGCACACTAACCCAAGGGGAGATGCTTTTATTAGACTGACTTTTAAAGCAGAGCTGAAGAGCCTCACATTAAACCTTTCAGAGATTTCCCACTAGCTGCCTACCTGAGCACATCACTAGGTATGATGGGGATTATGTAGCATGGCTTAAGGCTCACAGGAGAGCTTTAGCAAAATTCCTTTGCTGTACAACCTCTTTACCTAGGCTGTATCTGGACAGTTAAATTTTAAAATTACCTTGCAAGTGACCCTCAAAATTAGACTGCAATTAAAGAATGGAGTCAGCAAACAAGGCTCTCATACCATCGCCTTCATTCACTGGGGAAAAGATGTGCTACTGGAAGTGCCATCTCCTGGGAAGGCTCTGGTGCTAGGGCTGGAATGCAAAGGGATTCAGGACTGTTGGAAGAGCCAGGGCAAAAAAGATCCTGTAGCATTCAGCCAGAACTGTCCAGTCTGGATGCAGCAGCTGAATTTGGCCATTTGTCCTTGTGGAAATGCAGGAAATGCTGAGCACCCTCAGGCCAAACAAAAACCAGCAGCAGAAGCTTAGGAGGTGAGGCCTCTCCTTTTCCAATGCCCACAGGTTAACCCAGTAGCACAACATATGTACAGAGGCTCAGACACACTCTGGATGTTTCTGAGTAATTCAAGATTCAGTAGCTTGCACTACTACACAGCTCCATCCAAGAAAGGCAAAGCCTCTTTTCCAGGCATTTCAGTGCCATCACAAATAACACTACTTTGGAAATGCTCACTAAGTGCAGGACACAGCATGTTACAGCTGTTGTATTTCCTGCCTTGCTTTGCTGTCACACTAATGCCATTTTTTCCTCTCACACACATTGAGCATTCCCCTCCTGCAGGCATTGTTTGCTACTGTTTTGAAATCTTTTCCTTGTCTCTC